GGAATTACTCATTACTTGTGGAATTGGGCTGTGACAAAAAGTAGCCATTTTACATGAGAACAGCTTTGTACTGGAAGACAACATGCTGACAGGTCCAAGAATTGATCTGTTTTAGTGACAAAACAGACAGTATTCATTCCCTAGCTCCCTTAAATAAAATACCAGTAATAAACCTGTCTTAAATAACATCACAAAAATCAACCTGACAAAAGGAAAGCTGGTGTAGGAGCTCAGCCATTTCTGCATCCAGACCTCTGGAAGACAAAACAGGCTTACTGAGGATTACTTGGTTACTTGTGTGCCAGTAGGTTTCTGAATGGGGCTGTGTCTTGCTGTGGAAACAAAGAGAAGCAGAGAAGGCACAAAAGCTCCATCTTAATTACTTTTATCAAGAACTTACTCTTTTCTACCAATAAATTTTGACTCCTGTGTAAGCTTAAAAGGTAGAATTACTTCTTATACCATACCGCTGATCCTCTGTCAAGCACACCAGTTTCTCCCTTGGGGCAGGACTGCTGAGTTTTCTGCCTTGACTGTGACTATTGTAGGAAGATAGCATATAAATAGAAATTCTGCTGACTCAGTTGTTTCAGCGAGGCGTAGTGCTATTAGCAGAGTACCCTGTGTTCCTGCACAGCTATGTGCACCTGCAGTTCCTTCCTCGCTTTGCAGTAGTTCCCTTTAGAACCAGGGGTTTTTTTAGCCTTATTGAGGCTCTTCTTGAGAAGCTTAATTACACTGAGGGATATTTGATAATGTTCTCTTAATACTTTGAACACTCACAGCTTGCCTTAAGAATCTGAGGATAATAAAATGCTTGGAACTGAAGGCTGGTTTAATGTTTTGCCTGCATGCATATGAAAACAACAACCCATCAGTGTTCTGATCTGTTTGTGCTCTCTCCTGTTCCCCCTGGGCAAGCCTTTTGTTTCCACTTCTGGTAGAAGGTTTTTTTTTTCTGCTCCTCTTCCTGTCCAAAATCAAGCCCATGTTAGCATGAATATGTTTTCCAAATCTTTATTGTCTTGAACAGTGTGTTTTGTTTTGGGTTTTTATATGTGTCCCATCCTGTGTCCATCTGTCCTCCCCCTCCTTGCCTCCAAATGTGACCTACTATTCTGACAGGGCGGATCGTGATCTGGCTGCAGTTTCAGGAAGTTGCTGTTAGAAGTCAGCTGCTCAAAAGCACAGGATAAAAGATGAAAGAAATGCAGCTAGGAAGAACATCTATCCAGTGTTTGTTGAATAAAGCTCAGGGAGCTAATAAAAACAGATTTAGGGTGTGGGGGAGAATACTGGAAGGCCAGTGATTCTTTATAACTGAATAAAAGGAAAGTATGTATACCTGTATTTCCACAGACATCAAATATGCACTTATAAGCAACAGCTAATTTGTAATGAATTAACAACAAAGTTGTACAGTATAGCACAAGATCCTCTTGACATAAAAGAAGTAAGATCCTATACCAAGAC